CGGATCGGCTGCCACCCAGCCCAACCGAGTGCTCTACTCTCCAGGGGCAATAAATGGGTATCAGATTCGTCTGAGAGGATAAGCTTGTACATCGGCTGGCCCCGCAAGTCATTGTATAGGCCACATCGCATTCAATAAGCCACTACGATTCTGAATGGAAGTAGAATGCGTGCCGCATCCCAAAAAGAATTTATGAGCAGCTAAGCGTTCATCCTTCATGTGCAGTTTGTCGACTGAAAACACAACTCCTCAGTTGCTGTCAGCCATCGAACGTGATCATGCGTTTTTACAGCCGTTTGCCGTGTTTGATAGACGAAAAGAACTATGGTTCAAGAAAATTCCCAGCTCCTTATTTGTGGAAGAGTATGGTATCGAGAAGGATGACTGTGTGATTTTTAGGTCAGTTGTTGAGCGTTTTACAAGTCTGTGGATTGATGTTGATTAACTGGAAGATAGATTCCTTGTAATGATTTTAGCTGGGGAGACGAAGAAGGTGTGCAGTGGACTCTTGGTCAGTTACGTAATCTCGTGGCCGATGTTGGAGGACTACGAAAAGAACGCAAGGTGTAGTGAGATGTTTAGATGGATGAATAGATTGCTGCCCAAATTCACAGCACAACAGAGATATCTGTGTGGTGAAAAAAGGGAGTCTTAGTTTGCACAGATTTTCCCCAGTGACAGGAGGCGTCCTGAATTCTGACCGAACTTAGCCAGTTAGCCGGTTTCGTAGGAAGATGAGGCATTTTCCTGTTCAAAATTCGTGAACTATTCATAGAATTCATCAGATTTGCGCACACTGGATCGTCGATTTTCCATTGTTCTCCGTGGAAAACAATCAGCTCGTTGCCACTCACCATCCGTTCACGGCTCCTATAGAGGCGCATCGAGAATGGCTAAATGATCCAACGAAAATTCCTCAAATTACGGGTACGTTCATCTTCTTTCAAGAAAAGAGCAGGCTCTCCAGAGGGGGGGCACTTTGTGGAAGTGGCCGTTTGAATAC